ATATAAACAATGTAAATTCTTTTCAAGTCTTATGCTTGGCATGTCTATCGGAAGTTTACCCCAGTGAGGAATGTCCATCTATTAACACTGAACTTTGAGCAGGATTGATTGACATAGTTAATAATTCCAATTAGTGATTAATTCCAGATTAGTACTCCCCACTTTAAGTATTGATGAAAGGAGATTCAACCATACCATCCAAATTTTACAGAATAACCCCTCACTATTCCTAGAAGTCATAGCTTTCTTGCCAGGGTTTTCACTTTAACAAAAATCTCCTTTGATTTCATTGGAATTCAAATAAAGGCAAAGCTGGAAACTTTAGGGACACTTAACTCCCTTTGACAGGTTTTCTGTAATAGATTTTTCTCTTCTAAGCCTTCAGTCTGGGAAAATAAGAATACCATAAATATGTCTTCTGATTAATATATTTATAGAGTTGCTCCCTTAGGCTGGAATTCATCACTTCAGCTATTACTGGTTTCTACATTAATTTTGGTCACCAATCCAGAGCAGCTTAGCACCTTCAAAGCAGACTGCCCACCAAGCCACACCAAGCTTCTGTGAACTTTATAGTTAACCTGTGAGTAACATTACTGACTGAGATACAAATCTGCAGATAGAAGTGATATACTTGCCTACATGTGGGAAAATTTGGCCAGCTCATTCACCAATGAGTCCTTTTTTTATACCCACTTGAGCTTTGCCTAAACACATTAATTAAGGATTTTTTTATTATTATTTGTATATAGAAATATGCATTTTCAGTTAAAACTGGAACTAGTGTTTCTCATCAGGAGTTCTGCTTCCACATAATGTAGACAAATGCATACAGCAAAAGTGGAGAAAAATAAACCCATGGATGCCAGGAATTCTACTATGCCCACTGATGGTGGGAGCAAAAAACAATCCAATTTCTCACTTAAAATTATACTTAGTGATGACACTCCATTATTTGTCTTGATGACCTACAATAATGATAAAATTAATGCATTAGTCACATGCAATCAAATTGGCTCCCAGTAAGTAATACAGTCTGATTAGGAACGGCCTTTGTTTCAGATTTCCCCTTTTTTTCACTGTACAGCAAGTGATGTCATTTGATTGGGAGGAAAAAATGAACTGAATTTTAGAGAGCAAATTGATTATAACAAGACATATGAAAACACTTTTTTTAACCAGAATAAACTTCTGTGAGGTTTGAGTTCATTGACAGCATATGACGGAGAATTTGGTGAAAATACACTTTTTCTTTGAAGCATCATAATCAAAAGTAAAATATTTTCTTCTTTTTGTAAACCTATCTGTATGATATACTTTTGGAGTCCTGTGACTTTGTAAAATCACACTGTTACTGCTTCTTCAATCTTCTCTACATCTCACAGTCTGCAACTGCTCATGCTTACATGTGTTTATGTGGTAATATAAAGTATGAAGACAATATCACAGGGCACCAACTCTTTTAACTCAAAGGAAGGAAAATTGCAAATTAAATCATTATATACAAATTGGATACAAACTGTTTAGAACTTTGAGCTGTATTGGGTTACAATGTGTATAATTAAAATGTTCATATAAATAGACAGGAAGACTAGCAACAATATCACTGATGTATTCATCAACTGTCATGTAAAAACAGGTTCTCAACTATGGCCCTCTTCTGTTTACATTTTGTATTTTCAAGCTCAAAATTCTCAAAGCTTCAATCTGAATTTAAAATTAGCATGCACAGCAGAAACTGAAATGTTTCAATGATGTGTGCTACATCCTCTAGGTACAGAAAGAGGAATAATGTATTGTAGCAAGAATAGCTGCTGCCAGGTAAGGCTCTTATAACATTTCAAAAAGTCTGGAATGTGACATATTGCCAAGTAGGCTTTTAGAAGAGAAACAAGCAAATTATTTTAAAGTGGTATTTACTTTTTATCAACACATTTGAGTAAAAATATTAGTGTGAATTCTCCCCCGCTTCTCCCCATAAACATACTTTCCTAAGAGCTCATATTAAGTACCAAAGAACTCCACCTACTTAGGGAAATATATTGAAAAACTGAGATATTTCATCTTGTTTCAAAGATACAAATATGAAACCTGATTGTCCTGAATTTTTGCTTAAAAGTCTTTTTATCATGATAATATCTTCAGTAAGATGAAGGTTTAGTATCAGCAAAGATAATATTATGATTTTACTTATATTATTTAATGTATCTGGATTACAAGCTAATGTCCTCTGATGTAGAAAAGGAGCTTTAAAAATATCTTGCCTTTTTCTTAGTTTATATAATTTCAAGTTACAAATTTATAAAATTATTATAAGAATAAAAAGAACAAAATACAGTTCTCATTCTTGTTGAGTAGTTGCATACCAGAGTTCTTTGACTTTATTTTCACTACAGACATTTAATTGAATTCCAATGACATCAAAACTAACTGGGGTAGTCTCACAGTACTTTCCTGTAGTATATTTACTGATTATTTAACAATAATTGCAACAATTGCAAGTGGTTTAAAAAACCAAGCTGATATGCAAAAAATTGAGTATAGCAACTTTTAAATTAAAAGCACGGAGGGACTACTAACACAAAATAATTATAAGAACATTTGGAGAGAAAATGCACTATGAAATATAAAATGCTTAAGAAAAAATCTGCAATTTGCATTTGAAAAAAATATTTCTGAAACCCTGAACTATGTTACTAACATGTAGGGCACAATGATAACGGTGGCGGTCACGTAATCATACCCTGGGAGTGTTATAAGTTCTCACTATAAGCCTGCCTACTGGAAATATTTTGCACAAAGGAAGAGACACATCTCCAGGAGGAACAATAAAGATGATTAATCTGGCAGACAAACTACTGAGTGGTAGGTTTCAATAGCTTCATGTGACTCTAAAATTGCCTTGCTGATTTAAGACAGTAACTATCTGCTTAGCACACTTTCTTTACCAAGAAAGGATAACAGTTAATACACCACAAACAGAATCAATATTAAAGAACTGTTTAATATACAGAAAGTAATACAAATTATCACTGCTTGAAGTGCCATATGAGGCCACCACCAATAACCACAACTGGATTATATATTTCCTCAACCAAATGATAAATGATTTCAGGGTAGTGTGTTAGGATATCCAGAATTTTAAATACCAAATATTTTTAAACAAAACGTAGCATGAGACAGAAACAGCAAACACAATTATACTATCCTGTGGTGAAAACAAATGGATCTCCATTTTCAGAGATCTACCAATTGGCTTACATAAGATATTATACCCTTCTGACACTTAGGGTACTCCTCTTCTAAGGTCAGGCAGATCTCCTGAAATGAAGTTACCAAAACAAAGACAAAACAGAGAAATTCAGCCTTTCTTTTGCCTGAGAAGGTTTGTTAAACCATAGAAACTGGTGACTATTATGGCAGATTTTGGCATCTTGATTAAGTGTCTTAAAACCTACACCACGTATCGCTTGGTTACGTGATCCTTGTGTTCAGAAGAAGGATTGCTAAGCTGTGAATCATCGTCACCAGTTCTCAGACAGGAGCACAGGACAAGTGAGTTGAACAGAACCAGTGTATGTGAGACATCCTTCTGCTTTGCTGTATTCTGTTGTGTCCTTGCATAGCAGTAAGACAGATTACTTTTCCACCCTCTTAGACAGTAATCAACTCACATTAGCTCTTTTTTAGAATTAATAGAATCAGAATAAATACATAGACCTACCTTTGTTTTTCCCCATTATCATCCTCTACTAGTTTTCGTGAAACACATTTTTTTAGAAAACGAGGAGGCAAACCAGGTGTTAGATTATTTATGTTTGACAAATTCATATCATTTAAATAATTAAAACTAATTTCTGTTGAGAGCTACAGTTGCATTTTTATTAGAGAAACAAGTACAAATAGGCATCACTACAGAGCTGTTTATTCAATAATGAGATTAAATGAAATGGATTTTGTAGTCTCAATACTTTGATTAATGTGGCAATTGGAACTTCTGTGCCCTAACAATGTGGAAACAGCTGCTCACCCACTATAAATCTGTGAAATTTTTTTTCTTTAAAGCTACACATTTTAAATTACCCCTAAAAATATACTGTAAGCAAAATATTGAATGCTTTCAGTTTAAACAATATTTACATTATAAGCCTGAAATTATACTACTTTTTAATTTAATCACAAAAAAAGTTTTATTTACAAATAGCAGTATATATGTTTATATGTAATGTAAACCTTTCTGCATATCTTTTTGCTTACATAATATAGAGGTTATTGCATTATTCTGTATAGAAAAATACTTTACTATTAAACTAATAATAAATTCTAAATTAATTATTCTACAATAGGGAATTACAATTTTAAGAGAAAAATATATGAATGTAGCTACAAGGAGAATGTGCTGTGTGTAAAATTGTCTACCAAGAACCAGTTAAAGCAGCACAGTACTTACCCTTTGAACAAAAGGCAACAACATGTAATTGAAAGAAATTATTATGGACTATTGAAGTTTTGAGGAAAAAAAGATGCAAAACATCTGGAAGCAAACATATTTATAGAACTATAATAGAGTATATTGTTCTCTTTTCATTAAAGATTTTTCAATAATTTTTATTAGAGCTGCAGCATATTATATGTACAGGGACTGCATTGCACCAGATATGGACACGCTAAGCCATGTTATTCTTGCATTTAAAAAATACCATTTGAATCTCTATCACTTATAAAATAAACCAGTCTC